AACCTTAGGAAAAATCAATTTGACGCATTAGGCTTTAGTTTTACACCCCTGTTAACCATCAAGACTCAACATGGTAAACAAAACTTATACTTTGTTCGGCGACTAAGTAATCTATTTTGTCATTCAGTCAATGATAAATTAGATAATATTTACAGAAATATGTAAAATTAAGCTGTTAAACCTGTATTATGTGTAATACTATTTCATTTAATGAATCCCTTCATGTGGTGATAGAGGAATGTCACGAAGCAGTTCATCATGAAAAATCCATCCGATCACCGAAATATTGATCAGTCTGAAAACCATCCAATTGTCTTTCGTCACCAAAATTTACGACAATGTTTTCCATATTGATGTGTAGTTATTGAATTACTAGGGACTTATTGGTTCGACCCTTTCAAGAATATCTTAGATACTTGCAATTCTAAGTATATGTCTGCCCAGAAATAAATATTTGTTTTCAAATTGTTATTGGCTTTTTTTCCTTTTGAGTGTCTGCTTTTATGCTACTTCTAGATCAGATCGAGAAAAAAAATAGAACATATGTCAAATAGAGTTATAAAGAAGTTGAAATATCGAAACACAAAGTGGTATCTCAAAAGAAAATCTGTTTCGAAACTCGTACTCACAAACCTGATCTTTCTCTTTCCTATATGACTGTAAATGTTTGGTATCTTATTTTGAAGTTTCATCTTGATAACTCACAACAATCTTGCTTTGCTTGAACGACTTTATTTGAATTATTGAATCGTTTAAAGCACGGTCTTTTCATATTTGTTTATACTTGTTCAAATTCAAGAAAGTATTCAATCAATGTCGTCTTAGCTGATACAAGTGCTTTTCACTTTTTTAAGAGAAAACCCTGATCAAAATATTTCGAATCATTCAACTAGCTTAAGCGTTCCTCACCAAACAAAGCTTATGAGAGCTAAAAACTTGTCATCAAGTAGTTCAAAAGTACCGGTTCATTTTGAGGCAACAGTAGTTTACAGATGTTCGAATTTTCATTAATCGGTTAAGAAGATACAAATCATGGTAAAGCAAAAACAAAACAAAAAGACTTATTCACATCAACTCAAAAAGGAGCGAGACCAGTTGAGTTGACAGGGAAAGTGTTTACTGCTCTGCATGCAACCCCCCGTCATCCGAATTCCCTCAGTAAAAAATTAACATTCGGGAATATGACATAATCGGTAAATTTACAGATAAATTCATCAAAATTTCAAAGAAACGGATTAATATAAGCTATGTACAGCTTGTTTCTGAATTCTATTATTATATCATATTTTTGCATGATGATATAATTGTAATGAAGACAAATAAATATGTTTAAACCAACTCATCATAGATACCAGGCTTATTATTTTGTACGTCAAAAGCGCGTTTCGTCTATACATAAGACTCTCGATTTAAAACAGTTGGAGGGCCAAATAACAAAAGAAGCTGTATAACTTTAAAACTGAAAATTCCGAAAAGTTGTACCAAATACGGATGACATTCTTTACCTGGGATAGAAAAACCTTAGCGTTACGAATAATTAAACATCTTATGTATTGTAAATTTACAGAAAATGAACATATCAATGATATTTCATGTGAACACAAAAGTGCTTACTACTGAAGTGTTGATACTGTCGGTGACAAACGTCCACCAGCAGTGGCATCGATTAGTGGTTGTATAAACTCATCAAAAATACCAGGCTTGTTATTTTGTATGCCAGATGCGCATTTCGTCTACATAAGAATCAATATTAGTGCTCGAATTAAAAATAAATATGTTTGAGCATAACAAAGATATTTCATGTCAACACTAAAGTGCTGACTGCTGGGATATGATACCATCGGGGACGACTATTCGGCATGGTATCTTAAAATCTAACACCGCGAACAAATGTCGCTCGTGAGATGAGAGACAGACACATCGTATCGGTCAACCAAATCGTGATGGTGACCGTAAAACTTATGTCGATTTTAGTCGTTCTTTCTCATAACTCTGTTGGAGCAGTTTTTGTGTAAGGACCACGCCCCCTGTTAATGAAGTTCATATAGTGTGAACATTCACGAACGAACGTTTGTTTTGAGATATATAAACGCCATACGATTGAACAGGGGTTATGTTGCTGTTCAGTATATCAAGCCGGGCTTCTATTATCAATTGCCAAATTTTCAAATGAGGTTACTTTAGTGTTTAAAGTATATATATGGTCATTTATTATCTTAAATATATATAGAGGTTTAGTATATTTGTTATTCACTGATCGTCCATTCAAGTCTGAAGAGTACATATCCCTGTGTTTCTTTGATATGGTTAAGGTACATGCTTACATATATCTAGCAGACTCACTGTACGAATGTATATATACAAGGTAAAGAGAGTGTGATGGGAAGCATGTTAGAAATCCAAATTACAAGGGAATTTTGTTTAAAGTCAATATACCAGAAGATCAACAAAGCACATGTGTCACTAGAAAAAAGGAAAGGACAATACAATACTAAGACAGACAAAAAATACACAGACTTGGAAAATATAAATTATAAATTGATATACAAATGGAAACAACAAACATCACTGGGAAAATAGAAAGGAGGAAAAAGTAGAAAACAAGAAATAAACAACAATATCTAAGCACAACAGGAAATCTTGTAAGGAAAATGAAAATGTAAAGACAAAATGAAAACTAGCAAGGAAAAGGTAAACATATCCAGCAATAATGAATATATATAGTAAAGAAAATTACCGCGGAAAAATAGACAAAAAACACAATGAAAAGAATACTTGCAGAAAAATATATGAACCAGCAGACTACAATGAAAGTACAAAGTAAAAACTAGTAAGGAAAATATAAACAATTAAAAACCAATTGTTCAGAGAACAAGTCAAGGTCTTCCCACTTCTTACGATTCATTTTGATATGGAAATATCAAAATACGGTTTAAAGTGTCATATACAGTGTCAAATGATACCTTAATGTACGCTGATTCCAAAAATATATGGTTTCTAAACAATTTTATTGAAATAAGGGAGATAATTTGTTACTTCCGGTCTGAAAAATGTCACTTCCGGTATTATTTGATAATTTACTTGACACTGATTCCAAAAATATATGATTCCGCTATATACTTTAACATCAAATATGTACAAAACAAAGCTACTTCCGGTTTACACAAAGTCATTTCCGGTTGGATTTTCAAGCTCATGTAAATTGCAACCTAATGAAAAGAGTCCCATGGCTTTATCGTGTCTAAATATTAAGTTAAAGCAAAGGTCAAAATCTAGAACGTCAATTTCAACTTTGACCTTGAGCTCAATTTCAAGGTCATAAACCAAGGACCTTTCATCAAATTACCCTAGGTCTTTATTATACTTGGTAAATGAGTTATACCACCATACATGTAATTTTAAATATAAAAAGGGAGAAAACTCTCCTTTACGGTCAACGTACCCTTGCAATCAAAATTTACGTGTTACGACATGTCGCAAATAACAATTTAGTAAAAATAATTTGTCGATATCTTATACGGTTTTTGGAAAGAAGTGAAAATAAGCCAAAATCAAAATTTAGAATATGACCTTGACCTTTGACCTTGACCTAATTTTCATTTTTTTGGACCAAGGATCTCAAATCAAGAGATCCTAGGTCTCTATCACTTAAGGTTTACCAGTAAGAAACGCATCTCACTTATATCAAATGCATAAGGGGGAATAACTCTCATATGGGGTCTCCGGATAGCTTCGATCCAAATGGTCATCCTAATCCTGAAGATGTAACGAGCAATTTGGTAAAATAAATTTGTCGTGAACTTTTACGGTTGCGAAAGAGTAGTGGCCACAAGAAAAACAGTGTTTCAAAAGCGTATAAACTGTACGATATCATATTCCAAATATATAAGCGACATCTTATAAAACAAGAACACAACGAAAGAAAAAAATTAGGCGGAAGAAAAAAAAATGATAATCAGAACAAAATCAATAGGTCTTTCCACGGAAAAGTGGAAAGACCTAATTACAATTCAAGAAAAAGCATCATGCAAGAACAAAAACCAAATCATCTGTTTTCAACAATACGTTTACAACACAATCTTTTCTCACTTTAATAATTCTAATCAGTAAATCACCAAGATTGTATGACGAAAAGAGCAATTCTGACATGTCAACTTGTAAAATAATACATAACAGTGTTTGATAAATTTCCAATGCAATAGTTCCTTTTCGTATCTATCTTGCAATGTAAATAAACAAGTCATATGCGAAGCATTACATGTAGATTGCTCGAATTTCAAGTATGCAGGTTTACATGTTATGGAATGATTTAAAGTGCATTGTCATGCTTCTATTTTGCATGATGAGTCTCTTTCTTAAAAGAAGTTGATTATCTGGTATTTAGGAGCTGTTCCGTCAATGCCACACACTAATAAAGCATCAAATAAAATGCCGTTCACTTTGGTACAAAGAACAAGGTAAACTTTTAATGCTTTTACATGCATAAAACAATCTTCGTGCTTACAAACTGTGACAATTTAATACATAGGTCATGGGGCACGGATCAGTGGAAACATTCGTCTTAAGGTAACACACCAGGTGGTTAATTAGTTTGAATTCCTTTGAAGTATACCTGTAGAAATACGTTAAGCTCGATGATATAGTTGATCAATGTTTGGGTAGCATGCAATCAAAGATGATCTTTAGTTTTATAAATGTAGATAAGTCATACAAAGTTTATCATACTGTAGAATTATTTGCAAAACGTACAAAGGTGACAAAAACAACACATAATGAAAATGAACAAATTATTCAGACGTTTTTGAAGGAACTGATTCATTAACTAAAGAAACTGTTATTCATTTATATAGTTTTAAAAACTGGCATTCGTCAATAAATTTCCTCAAACCATTGTTTCGATTTTGTAAATTCACCCATTTTAAATGTTAAACTGAGAAATAAACATGGAATCATTCAAACATATTGTGAGGGGTGGACGAAAAATAATGAAGGCATTGAAAATGTGTCCAATAAGGTTTTTTTTTTATAAAAAAACACACAAAGTAAAATTACACGTTTAAATTTATGCAAAACTTGTTTGTCCAAGCAATGATAACTGAACGAATGCATGTTATTTTGAGGGCGATACACTCGGCAACAGACAACCGTTTTGTTGTATCAATCCATCACTTGGTTGAATGTTGAACTCCCCAACAGCACAAAATAGTCAGTTGAGTACATATATGTGATACATCTCGCAGAATCTGCTGACGTCATTTGTCGTTGGGTGGAAGGGGGTCGTATTTGGAATCGGACACAATGGGTCAAATTTCTGTTCACCAAAGTTCTCTCGGGCGGGGTTCCTCCAGGTGCAGCAAATCGAAATCAAATATGGAATTTGCTTCATTTTTCACCTAGGTAAATAGATACAGCAAGATAAGTATTCCTGTTAAATATTTAAAAAGATGGCGATGAGGAATTGTCTGGAAGATAAAAAGAAAATAGTAGTAATAAAGTCAGTATCTGGTAATATCATATAAAATAGAATATACATTCTAGGAGGGAGGAAGATAATGTTGAACTAAAACTTCGAAACCGTTCTTATGTCGATGGTAATGCATTGTATGCTTCCATAACACCAACCAATCATTCTTTGAGTTAATCTTGTTGAATGCAAGTGTATGTAGAGTATTGAATAAATATATGGGAATTCGAAGTAGTAAAATCAGTAAACATGACCTGTTTACAAGAATTTTAGTACTATATGAGACGACGAGACACAACAACAATATTTGTTTCACGACACGACAAATAAGAAACGATACAATGAAAATGCTTCCATCCATCTTTATTCAAAGTATGTCATTTATACAGGTGAAAAAATATCTGAATGGGATAAAAACATTCGTTTTGTATTGATTTGTATCGTTTGCTATAACACTATTATATATGAGATAATATAAGACACCGACAATTCATATTTGAGGGGAATGAGATTTTTTCTTGACAAATAATTGTTTTCAACTTTAATAATAAAAAAAGTAAAACATTAAATTGCTTTGAAACTCAATGTTGAATTAATTTTTTGCCTAAATTTCAAAGGAAACAATTTTTTTTTACTTCCCTTTAGAAATGTTTTTTTTTCAAGAAATTTTGAATCAAACAATTAATTTGAAAAAATCCATATCCCACAAAAGATGAATGGTCGGTGCTATATTATTAGAATGTTGAAATCTTTTACAAGCTAGTAAACAAAATCAGTCTCCGAATGATGATATGTTCGATCTTTTATGTGTCAGTGTTCTCCGTAGTATTATAAGCAGTTTACTTTCCGTGTGACACTTGGATAATCGAAATGTGTTGTTTAATAAGCAAACTTTTGTTGTATTATTTCCAATTTATAACTCGCAGATCCATCATTCAAAACTGTCTTTGCTAGAAGCTATCATATTATACAAGGAGGAATTCCTCATTTTTTCTTTAATCATTTTTGCAAACAACATAAGATCATGCACCTGTGTTTGGCACGAAGAGAAATAGACTATAACAGCTGTTAGGAGTTATATGATGGATAAATTTTGAACATTTCATCCCAAAAAACACATGATTGTCAGTACTTTCGATATAAGATCGCTAGAACGAATGTCGAAGATCACACATTTAAAGTAAAGCCATATGTCTCGACTCCATATTCTATATAATATGAAACAATATGAAACCATAAAAACTGATTAGTTCTTGGTGATTTTGAAATGTATACTGTTATGAAATATACGACAGATGTTTCAGTTAGAAACTATGCGTCGGCAAAGCATAGAAAACTTATGTAAACGGTTTAGTACTTCATGATTCGGTGAAAAAGCCATAAAAACCTCTGATTAGATGCATGATAATGTGCATCATAGTCTGACGCATTTCATCTTATCGGCCAAATTATGAGCGAAATTTTTGAGAAGGTTGCACAGATGTGTGTACTCTAATGAAATATTTTATTTAAGAGGGAATATTTAATTGTTTCAATTACTGATCTATCATAACAAATTGTTAAAACATTGCTTTGATATGAAAATATGTTTTATAAAATCATTGCGCATCCTCTTCGTAATGTTCTAGATTTTTTTATTAATTTCCTTCTTTTTTCTTTTCTTTATATTAATAGAGAATTTAACTTGAAGCAGTCTTGATTTCAATATATATCAAAGTTTTCAATGAAAATCTCGCCTCAGAAAAACTTTGCATATCCTTAACTTCTATTTGATTCTAAATAACATTTTTTCGTTGTGCATCCAGAAATTTTATTGAAATTCCAATAGAAAATTATTGACAGCACAGGTTTTATTACATTACAATTAAGCAGTCATCTTCTTTTATGTATGATAGCAAGGGTTTGGCCTCAATTATTTTGTATTTTAATATCTAGATTCGTTATTAAAGATTAATTTGGTTGATGTTTTGTGTTTCATGGGTCAGCAACATAAAAATGCTATGTGGGGGGCAATGACTATGAAATGGATGATGTAGAATGAAAACAAAAGGAAAATGGATGGGATGTGACACAAAATGATTGATTGTTGTCCAGTAGCAAATACTTCATGATTTTTTATGATGAGAATATATTAACAGTAAATCCAATAGTTAGATTCTACAAAGTAAACCGACACAGATGAAGGATGGGAATTAAGATTGCCACTGAAAATGACTGTATGTTGGATAGAAAGCAGAAACTTTGCCTTGCTACAAGCCATATACGGACTACTCGAAAATTTGTTGCAGGTTTCGTGCAAAAAGCGTGAAGATCTCCCTAAACGACGGATGGGATTTAGCGTCCCTATTGCGACCAGACGGAGCTGCGTATCTTTAAATCCTACACAGTTAAACGGAGACCCCGCTCTAGCATAGGCATTTTTTCAAGATGGAAGAAGTCCAGATGATCATATTCTATACCATGCAAGTCGAACCTTATGGTTTGAACACACGATATGAACAAATGTTAATTTGCACAGGAAAATCGGCCCAAAATGATGCTTCTAATAGGGAAAAATGCTGGAAGGATCTTTGAGTGTTAGGAATGTGGCTCTTTTCTAATATTGATATCCGGCACAGCCAAAAAATGCCTCTTGCATGAGAACTTGAGCCTCTAGGTTCCCTCGAGATGATTCGTCATGGAATGTTCACAATGACGACAATTTATCGAACATTTAAGATACTTTGGCAAAAAAAAAGGTCAAAACGGATATACTATTTGATTATTGTATGCCTTAAGACTTTAAAACGGCCTTCAAGGTAAAAAAAAATATGACCTAAGTGAAAGTCCAGAAACATATAACTTATGCAAGTAGGCTTCGCTCAAAAAGATAGAATGCCAATGTGTGCATGTATACAGGATGACAGTGATTTTTCCATCACTTGGAATAACGGTGATGTATGTTGTGGAATTTTATTAGCAATAGAAATACACAGGTTTGCACGACTCAAAGTATTGTACTGATATCGTCAGGCTTTTTATATCTCCATCAAATTTGTGGTCGGAGTTAGTAGAATTTTTCCCTGTCCGTTCCTCATTCTTCCGTTTGTAAAATAAAATTGAGAATGGAAATGGGGAATGTGTCAAATAGACAACAACCCGACCAAAGAGCAGAAAACAGCCCAAGGCCACCAATGGGTCTTCAACACAGCGAGAAAATCCCGCACCCGGAGGTGGGCTTCAGCTGTCCCCTAAACAAAAATATGTACTAGTTCAGTGAAAATGCATGGACGTCACACTAAACTCCAAAACATATAAATGAACTAAAATTAAAAAAACATACAAGACGTCGACATTGTTGTCACAAATGTTTGTTAACGCAAAATATTATACATTTTACGTATGAATGGAACCAAACTTGACAGAACTACTTCATCCCATGTCGTGGTGTTTTTCTTTTCGTCAGATTGTGCAATTATGTTTCCATAGCAAAACTTTGGAATTTATAATTTCTACATATATATCGGAAAACTTGGCAAAAGCAAGAAAGGAATGGAACGAAACTTTGCAGAATAATGTCACATGCAACTGCATAATATTTATATTTTTGATGAGATTGATTTTTGGCGTTCCCAATACAAAGCATGGATCTCACGTCACTACATTTGTCAGTGCAAACCGTTTGCCTCATGGCAGAACAAATAAAAAATATATCTAATTACTTCATACGATATAGCTGTGAATCTCAAATTTTATTTAAGATATTTATTTTAGAGTTTTCCATAGCCAGACATGATCTTTGCCTTTCTGCTTATACGTGGAAGTTTGTCAACACAAAATATTCGACAACTGGTTGGAATGAACTGCTTCATCACATGTGAAATTGTGTGCTGATCAAAATCGGGTTTTTTGTTGTCCTCTCTTTTCTTTTTCTTTTTCAGATGTCTTTTGTAACTATATGACGGGATTGTGTCAGTAACAAACAAGTTTTATGTGTTTCCCTTAATTTTTACTGATATGCTTGTTCATCTTCTTTATTCAAGTTTTCTAGCTTCTTTTCCCCTTTTGCATAATTCTTTGTTCATGCTGGGACTATAGTTTTAAATATTTTAAGATTTGTTACATCATATCTGCAGTATATAAAAATAAAGGCCAATCATTTGATTTCCGTGCGCCCAACATGTGTACATGTATCAGGGATAGTCATACCCCTTTCCTGTTTGACCCCTCTTTGTAGAGCCCTATACCTTTGGATTTGTTCTTGATCAAATTTGCATGAAATATTTACCACTGGACATTGATCATTCAACAATCAATCAATCATTTTCAGGTCTAAATATCAAATAATCACTGTTTTAATCCTTGGAAGATATTAACAAATGTACAAGATTTCAAGGTATATTAAACAAAATTATATAGTATCTATTTGTGGTAAAATTCTTTTTGTTGTTGGGTGATTAGCTGTCATATTTCTGGCGGGGTCAGGTATAATTACTTTGCAAATGAAAATAGTGGACTGAACTAGATATGGCGACGCCGAAACTCCGACTAGTGGTGGTCCAGGGCAAACCTCATGTTTTGTAACAATTACTGCTATGTAATGAAAAAGAAAAGCATAATACAATAGTAGATTACATTTTCATTCGCTAAGAGTATCTTTTGTGGTTGGCGTGGTTTTTTTTCTTCGGGACAAATAAGGTTTTTTCAACTTCACTCAAATACAAACTATTTTTTAACGAAATTTAGAATCAAACAATGTATTCAAAAAAGACACCCTCCCTCCCTCGAAACGCACACACAAACACACACACACAAAACGAATGGTCGATGCCTGAGTCCCTGCAATAGCTGCACCAATAGATCGATTGTACATGCCTACAGAACAGATATGTTTATACTTCAAGTACAACTCCATTACAGTTTGATGGCGTTGTAATCTTTTTACCTTGT